AATTTCAATTTTTTTATGTTGCAATAAGAGATGCAGAAAATTTCGGCACCGACGCGTCCCAATGGCAATAATATAGATGTTTTACCTCTGTCAACCTGTATACAGTCCTTTTACTTTGATTTCACACAAGAAGAAAGAAAAATCTTATCTGAGTCACTCTGTATTACGTTTTAAAACAGTAACAGTAACAGTAAAACAGTTTTAAAAATTATGGAAAGCTTACCAGAGACAACCTATATTTTATTATGCCCAAAAATTTAGTTTAGTCAGTTTAACTTTATTTTAGCTTTTTTAACAAATAAATCATAGGATATTGACACGGAAAACATCCCTTAATTTCAATTTCAATTTTTTTTATGTTGCAACAAGAGATGCAAAAAAGTTCGCCACCGTCCAGGCCCAATGGTAATAATATAGATATCTTACCTCGGTCAATCTATATCCAGTTCTTTTACTTTGATTTCACAGAAGAAAAAATCTTAGCTGAGTCACTCTGTATTTCATTTTTTCTAAAACGCTACTCTTAATGTTTTTGTTTTCAAAAAAAAAACAAAATCTCGTCTAAAGCAGTTTTAAAAATTATGGAAAGCTTACCAGAGTCAACCTTTATTTTATTATTTACAAAAATTTTGTGTAGTCAGTTTCACTTTATTTTAGCTTTTTTAACAATTGAATCAGAAGAAAGGCGGAAAACATAGCTCGATTTCAATTTCAAATTTTTTTTTATGTTGCAACAATAGATGCAAAAAATTTCGCCACCGTCGAGTTTCAATGATAATAATATAGATGTCTTACCTCGGTCAACCTATATCCAGTTCTTTTACTTTAATTTCACAGAAGAACAGAAGAAAAAAATCTCAGCTGAATCACTCTGTATTTCATTTTCTTCTAAAACGCTACTTTTAATGTTTTTGTTTTCAAAAAAAAAAAGAAAAAAATCTCGTCTAAAGCAGTTTCAAAAATTATGGAAAGCTTACCAGAGTCAACCTATATTTTATTATTTCCAAAAATTTAGTCTAGTTAGCTTCACTTTCTTTTAGCTTTTTTAAAATCTGAATCAAAAGATACTGAGACGAAAAACATCTCTCAATTTCAATTTCAAAACGGATTTTAAACTTGATTTTTTCTCAAAATCCATTAAAGTTTTTATGAATGTTTTTGAGGCAGAAAAATCTAACTCAAATCACCTTGTATTTTTTGTAAATCTGGTGCGAAATTCTTACATAATTTCAATAATTTAAAATAAAAATATCATAAATTTGAAGTTTTAAAAAACTTGCTCGCCCTGTAGGTTATAATGTGGTACCCTCTTTCTCGTAGATCTAAAGTATTTTAAAATCAAAAATTTCTTTAAACATTTACTTTGGAGAAAATGACACAGAGAAGTTTTACTTAAATCATTCTATATTTAATATTTCATTTTTTTAATAAATCAATTTGAATTAATTAAAAAAATGTTTGAAGTTTAAACTTGAAAAATTTGCAGTCACTGCCCAGGATTGTTGAATCACCCCATATTTCAAATATCGTATGAGTCTGAGAAATTATTTCATTATTAAGTTTTTTTTGTGCAACTTTCTATCCAGCTTCAAAGTTTACTGCACTTTAATTAAATTGAAATATGGTCGCTTTTTGTCAGAGTTGTGCCACACAACAAACGTGGAATTGCGTTCGGGAACTTTAAACCAAACTTTTATTAATTTAAAATCGAAAAAATCGCAGAGCAGGAAATTTAATAAAAATCCAACGCGCTTTAATGACATCGTAATTAAAACTTCACTCGAGGATTTGATTATTAAAAAAACGAGAAAGTTGAAGGTGATTTCCACAAATCAATAATTTAATAAATTGGGAAAAGTTTGAACGAAAACCGGAGAGGTCAAGAATGAGTCAATGTGAGAAATTGTAACGCAGGTAAACTAAAAAATAGCATCTTTTGCCTGCAGCACTTTAGTTATTACAAAGAATGATTAAAGATAGTTAAATAAATGAAGAATTATTCCTCTCATTTTTTTTTGGTAATGTTGCTTTTTAAATTATGTTCCCTTCCACTTTCTGCTTTCATCTTCTCGTCACAATTTTTCTCACAAAGCCACTCATCCGGCAAATTTACCCTTCTTGTCCTTTTTTCTTTTCCAGCGTCGCCGGAAGTGCGTCCGTTGCGAATCTACCGGATTCCTATTCATGCTTTGAGCCGGAGCGCGAATCCGGAGCCGGATTGCCACGTCTCGACCGAATCTCCACCGACCTGGAAATCAGCTGATGCGAAATTAGCGGTCCCGGAGCAGCCACGCGTCTCCCGGAGTGCCACAAGTTCTCCGATTCCGGCGAAGGCAAAATTAGCATCAGTCAAGTGATTATATCTCTCACAACTGTAAAAATTTTCCGGAGATGGTCGCGAATGTTGGTTTTGGGTCCCCCTGTATATAAAAGGGCAATCAAATGGTTCTGAATTGTCTCCTCTGCTTCACATCACTCTGTATATCCATATCAGCGTACTAGATGTTTTAACCAATTGTATTTCGTGTGTGTGCTGAGTTCGGAAAAACGGGTTTTATAAAGGGATCTTTCAGAACTTTACGCTATCCTTGTCACTTCTTCTAAATCAAATTGAGGATTCTCGGCCATCTCTCTCTTCGTTACATATGCCTTTCTTCATTGTGTTGTGTCCAATTTGCAACGGTTTTAATTGATTTTCATCTGGTTGCAAACTGGATTTATTCTGTGATACCACTGTACGTATTCTTTAAGTATTTTCAAATCAGTGTGTGAAATAATAAACAAATCAATATCGAAGTTGTTTCATTTTCTTTATTATTTTGAAAGGTTTCCCATATCGAGAATTTTCTGGTTTTCTCAATGTCAAATGACTTCCTGGAACATTTTACATAAGTATATGCTTTAAAAACATATACATTCTAGTTCTAGAGTTTCACCACTTTTACGGTAATTAACATTTTTTTATAACTGAATTATTTAAAATTTCATTTTTTTTTTCTTGAAAACTTTGAAAACTACTTGTAGTAGGGCACTTTAACTAATCGTATTTATTTAGTGTACAATTTTAAGTCTCGAACTCACTAAAAAAATTCTTGCGGTGGAAAAAGTACCATTTGCTTCAATTATACAGGGTGTTTCATTTTTATTGTAACAAATTTAAATAGGTAATAAATAGAATATTTAATTTTAAGATAAAAGTTTCCTTAAAAAGTACCATAACTATTGTGGCTGAAGTTTCTTGTTACTTTCAAAAATAAAAATTCTAAATTTCATAGTTTTTTTACAAAAAAGAGGTCTCTTGCGTTTTTTCGATACAACTTATGCCTTTTGAGTGAAATCTTTTTAATATTCATGTTACACTCGTTTTGTTGTGTTTTTACCGAAAAAAAAATGGTTAAATTTGGTCGAAAACCATTTTTGCTTTTTTGAACGTTTTAGCATGTTTTTAAGATAAATATCTCACATTTTCAATAAGACTTCATCGAGACAAGATAAAAATCACGAAATTAAATCGAAAATGGTGTTATTTTTCACCTTCTCAAGTGTTTAAGAAAGTTCTTCAGGAAGAAATGCAATTTTTGCAAAATTTTGTCCAAACTAGTCAAAAAGTCAATAAAAATTGTGCTATTTTTGTTTTTTTTTGTTAATTGTGTTTTTAGTCAAAAACTTTTTTTTTCGCAAAATTTCGCTAAACTAGATTCAAATTAGCGTTCTACAGGGTGCGGCAGAACTCGCGCCCCAGAGAAAAATGTCATATAAGGTAAGATACCAGCAACATGGAAAAAATGTTAAAAAAATTTTATCTATAAAAATTTCGAAGTTATGAGAATTTAAATTTTGCATTTTGACTCTATTTATTTCTGTTGGAAAAATAATTTTCCAAGTTTTTTCGCTACAGGCTATTAGAAGTGGAAAAAAGGAAGCTATATCCTAAATTGTAACTCTATTCAATGTTATTTGTGGCTTCTATGGGCAAAACTTTTGTACCTGGAAAAAAAAACATATACAGGATCATCAGTATCATTAAATTGACAAAAAAATGTCAAACGTCAAAAAATAAATTTTTTTGACAAATAGAATGTTTTAAACATTTTTTTCCATGTTCCTGGTATCTTATCTTACTTGAAGTTTGTCTCTGGGGCCCGAGTTCTGGCGCACCCTGTATGTTGGTCTGTTTCACTGGATTTATTTTGGTAACCTAAATACTTACCTACTTTTTTTCGAAAAATTTTATTCACAAGTAAAAAACCACCAAATTAGTGTACCTTTTAAAGCGTTTAACGTATTTTTGAGTTAAGTTAAGATTTTGCAAAATTTTAGCAAAAAATCACCAAATTTTAAATTAAATCTGACCAAATTTGGTCAAAAATAACATCTGTTTTGACTTTTTCAGTTAAAAATGCACTTTTCCTTTGCAACATTTTGCTCAAGTAAGCCGAGAATAAATCTCCCAATTAGATACAAAATGGTGTTTTTTGCTTATTTTTGAGTAAAAATCTCAATTCTTCTTGATCAAAACATGCCCAAAAATTAATTAGGCAAAAAATTGTATTATTTCCATTTAATTTTCATGCAAATAAAAACGTTTTTGAGCCAAAACTGATTTTTTTCACAAAATTTTGCTAAAATACTCAAATTAGTTTTTTTCGAATAAAATTTCACTCAAATGGGCCAAAAAATTAGCAAATTAAGTTAAAAAAATGGTATATTTTTTCAAACTGGGGGTTAGGATAAAAAGAATTCTAACTATTTTTGCTGAAGTTTTTTGCCACTTTCAGCCCCATAATTTTAAATTCCATAGTTTTTCACAAAGAAGAGTTCTTTTACCTAAGTAATTTTTCGCATAAAAAATAGTTGGTGATTATACCATTTCACTCTTATCACTGTACTATACAAAAAATAATTATTAATAATATTGTTATCACTTATCACTGAGTGTTGTGCAATTCAAGGCCAACCAAACAAATTTTTTACCAAACAACTGATTGTATTATTTCAATTTTAATTTAGTTCAATTAAATCAATAATTAATTAACATAACACAGAGGTAAGCTGAAACTGCCATAATAGGGTTTCCTAGTTTCCGCAACTTGATACCTGAATTAAATTTCAACTTGAATTAGCCACAATTTCATGCAACAACAATGCAACAACAAGAACTAGAGAAATTGTATTCACCGAGTCAGTGGACTCGAAGATTTTCTTCGGCTGAAGAAATCATCCAGTATCATTTAAAATTTATAGAAAAAGGTAATTTAATACCATAATTAATCACTTAAATATTAAAAAATTGTAGCAAGTGCTGAAACGCGTGATAGAGTACCATCGCAACTGAATATACCATATGGAAGCACCCAACGCCAAAAAATTGATATTTTTGGAACTGATTTGGACGATGGTAAATCCGGCAATTAATTTAATTACTTTTTTGTGACAAATTTGTCAAAATAGGTTCCCCAATTTTTGTTTTTATACACGGTGGCTATTGGCAAATGAAGGACATCAACAAATCCAGTTATCACTTTCTGGCCAGCAATTTTTACAGAAACGGTATCAAGAGCATTTTTATTGGTTATGATCTTTGCCCTGATGTCCCCCTATCACAAATAGTGGCCCAAATCAAGTTGGCAGCTAAAAAATGCCTCGAGTATGCAAAAGAAAAAAACTCCAAGTAACAAAACTCACTATTTTGTGTTTTTTCTAATGTGGTAATTTTCAGAGGCTTGTATTTGATGGGGCACTCGGCAGGGGCCCACCTTGCAGCCTCTTTATTCTCAAACTTCAACTTTGTGCCCCCACAAGACCGCAAGTTGTTCAAAGGAGCTATTCTCGTGTCAGGTGTTTTCGATTTGAGCCCACTTGTCTCGACTGAGATTAATCAACCCTTAAAACTCGACGAGCAACTGGCGTCAGCTTTGAGCCCTTTGAAGCAAGATTTTGCAAAAGAATGCGATGAAACGACATTTCTTGTAATTGTGGGAGAATACGAAAGTCCAGAATTTGTGAAACAATCACAATTATTTGGCGAAAAACTGAAAAATTTGGGCCTGAAATCCGAGTTTCGGGTGGTCCCAAAAGTGGACCATTTTGATATAATCGAGGCATTTTTTCAGGACAATTTCACAATTTTTAACAAAATTGTTAATTTAATTCAAATGTAATTCAATAAAACCGCGTATATCCCTCCAAGTCGACCTACTTTCACTTTAATATCTCCATTATGACAGATTTTGAGAAAAGCACTGAAAAATTGTTTTTACCAAACCAGTGGTCCAAAAGATTCTCACCTGATGTAATAGTTAACAAACATCTAGAATTTGCCACTAAAGGTACACACAAACTAATTAATCAATCCAATTAATTAGAATTTTCCAGGAAGTGAGACAGCAAGACAGGAAATACCGTCCCAACTCAATGTCAAATATGGAGAATTAGAGAAAGAAAAAATCGATATTTTTGGAACCGACTTGAGCAATGGTACCATTTCAACAAAGTTTATCCTTGAAATAACGAATTTTCAGATGCCCCAATTTTGGTTTTCGTCCATGGGGGCTATTGGCAAAAAGAGTATCTAAACCGGGCCACTTATCACTTTTTGGCCCCCATTTTGCACAAAAATGGCATCAAATCAATGTTTATAGGCTACGAGTTGTGCCCTAAAGTCACTTTGAGCCAAATTATCAACGAAGTAGTGGTCGCAACTAAGAAATGTCTCAATTATGCAAAAGAAAACGGCTCCAAGTACGACTATAACAAAATTACATTTTACTGATTTTTAGTTTTAGAGGTTTTTACTTGGCAGGATATTCGGCTGGCGCCCATGTAGTAGCCACTTTGTATACAAACTTGGCCCTAAATCTTTCAAATGAAGACAGGAACATGATTAAATCGGTTTTTCTAATTGCAGGAATTTACGATTTGAGAGAATTACCCAAAACTTGTGTTAATGAGCCATTAAACCTAAGTCAGGATCAAGCAAAAGAGCTGAGCCCTTTGTTGCAAAATTTAGTTAGTGGGGTAACAACAAAATTTTATGTGATTTCGGCCAAAAATGATAGTCCTGAGTTTCAAAAACAGGCAAAAATGTTCAACGAGAAGCTTCAAAATGGCGGTTTGGTGACAAAATGGATAAATGTTGAGAATGTAGACCATTTTGATGTGGTTGAAAGAGTGGTAGATGAGGGTTTTGAAGTCACAAATTTGATTTTGGAAGAAATAAAAAACTTAAGTAGATAGTTGGTTGCATAACTTACACTTTAAGAAAAAAATTATCTTTAACTTTATTAAAAAATGCAAAGTAAAAAATTGTTTCAATCCTCCCCCTTCATTGCGTTAATTTCGTTGCACAATTCTGCAAGTTCTCTTAACATTTCTGTGTTTTTATTTTCACATTCAACATTTTCCACTCTAAGATTTTCTCCCTTGAAAGCCAGAACAGTGTTCAAACTCTTCATAAACTAAAAAACACAATTAAATATTTCAACCTAAAAGAATTAGATTACCTCAAAGACCCTTTCAAATTTTTGATAACACGCTTCAAGTACTTCCAGGAAGTCTTCCGGAAAATTAACTTTTTCCGCTTCCCTGTCGGGTCTGTGCTGTACCAAACTAAGAGTTTTCCTCCTAAAATCGAGACAAGTGTGCTCTAGTTGTTTCACTGCCTCTTCCAATTGGTTTTTCAAAAGTGGATCAACTGAAATATTTTGATTTTGATTTGATGAGTTGAGAAGAGCTTTTAAGTTTGAAATTTCTTGGTGATATTCTTGAACTTTGTTGGCACGTTTAGTAGGATTTAGGGTTTCTGTTGGTCCATAAGTTGGAAATAAATTTACATTAAAGTTTAGAAGATTTTGAATGTGGTTGGAGGAAAAGGTGCTATCATCAACATCAACAGTTTTGGTCCCGGAAAAAGTCTTTAAGGCGTTAAACATGTTGGTAAGTATCAGAAACTAAAAAAATAAGTATTATGTGTTGCATAACTTCATCTTAGATAAGATGATTTTAAATCATTACCTGTTTTGTGGAGTCACACTCTCCGTTCATAAATTGATTCTTTTCATTAGCATTACAAAATCCGTAACAATAGATTATATCTGCCAATTTTTCTTTATTTGCATTCTCACAAATCTCAACAAAACGATCATCCATTTGTTTCAAAATCCATGACACGAGGAACGATCTATTAACAGTACCAAAAATTTCGATAATTTCTTTATCTGCCATTTGGTGTATTCGGGAATAATTGTATTCTTTCAAACACTCAACCATGAAATGGAGATTCTCCATCGTGATAAAAATTCAAATTTCCCTCCTCGTATGTTGTGTCAAGCGCCCTCTGTAACAACAACGCCATCTCTTTTCAACCAATAGGAAAAGTGCGATAGAAAATAGAAAGAAAGCTCTAGATCGAGAGCGTAAGTTGGTGTTAAAATGGCGTCAGTGATTTCGGCCTTTTAATCATAAATTGTGAGCTTTCCAATGCTTTTCGGAAATTGGGAAAATGCAGAAAACATAGTGCTCAGTTTGGGAAATCTCTAATTAGTGTTTACATAACTTAGGTAGGTTTTTTCAGTGGGAAAACCGACCGGATATGTGAAGTAGTCAGAGGTCATTGCATTGCTATTTCTTAGATATATTATGAACTGTATAAAATTCACGTTTTTTTATTGTGGGTAGTTTTATAGCGGATTTTTTGACTTACCTGGCTTTTCTGGAGTTTAAGGGAAACACTAGTCACTACTACCGGTTTGATGCTTACGCGTAACCTCGAAGCGTGGGTAAAAGGCGGTTTAAATGACATGAAGTGGGCCAATCAACGTCTGTTATTTGATATTTTTGAATTAGTGACGGTTTTGTTACAAGAAAGTTGCTTTTTTTTAAATGACAGGAATTGAGGCGATCAAGTTGGCCTGTTTTGATTTTTGACATATCCAGAAAAACTGTAGGGACGATCAAGATTGCTTTGGTAATTTAATATGATACAGAAGAATATAGAATAACGCCAAGGAAGGGTTATTTTTTTCAAAAATAGTAAATTATTCGGTAAAAACTCATTAGGAGTGATTTCGGATCACTTAGATGTGCTAGAGAGAGACAGTCTCACGCCTCCTGATTGGTCCATTTGAAACAAATGAGAAATGCCTTCTATGTTTTTTCCAGAAAAATGGCGAGTCCATCGCCCCAGAGCAGTCCCATGCCGCCGCCACAAGCCCCCAGTCCCATGGGCCCCCCAATCCAGAGTCCGGCTCCACCCCCTTCGCCTCACAGCCCGTACCAAGGGCCTCCGCCCATGGGTCACGTGAACGGACCACCCCCACATTCCATGCCTCCGAATCCGGCACCCAATCACCCTAATATGGTTCAAATGCAGCCAAATCCAGGGCATCACATGCCCCCTCAACCGCACCCGAATATGCCTCCACATCCGCCACAACCTCATCCAGGCATGCCGCCACAAGGGCCGCCTCCTCAAGGACATCCAAACCATCAAGGGCATCCGCCACCACAAGGACACCATATGGGCGGACCGCCGCCTCAGCAGGGACATCCACAAGGGCCTCCCATGCAAATGCAGCCGGGAGGACCGCCTCCACAAGGACATCCGCACGGCGGACCGCCGCCGCCACAGGGGCATCCGATGCAGCCGGGGGCGCCGCCACACATGGGCCCCGCGCATAATATGCAGCAAGGACAGCCCTATCCAGGGCATCCTATGCCTATGGGGGGCCACCCCCAACAAGGACAGGTAATGACACATCAAATATTTTTAACAATTCTAGATAATTTTAATATTTTGGTCTTCTATCAAAGGACAAGCAAGTTATTATACTACATTAAAAATATGTATTTTTAGTATCTATATTCTAGATCTAAAAAATCGCATTTTGTCTTCATATTCAAGGGTGATGTGTCATTTTCGTGTGAGAGTGAACCACTTAGGGGTCTAAAAATCAAGAAAAACTTTAAAAAATAACAGCATTTTTTTGACATAAAATATTATCACTTCTGTGTAGGAATGAGTTTGCTGTGAAAGGATCAAAGCACTCTAGAAAAATATTTAATAAAACAAGAGAATGTTTATGATAACATTGATAACAGATTGCTTTTTCTTTTTCAAAAGAAAAAATTTCTTAAGAAATATTAACAAAGTAAATCATTATTAGAGATTTTGCTACCTTTTGTTTCTCATGGCCAACTAGTCAAGCAAATGACTATTTTAATCATAGTTATCTAATTATAATAGTGACATGTTAACTACTAGTATTTGTTTTTATTTTGACCGTTTTTCTAATTAATAAATTACCGTCGAATTGTCATAAATTACCGACAATTTGCTTTACAGATTACATAAATAATTCAAAACAATTTCACAGTGATTTCCTTGGTAGTGTAATACCAAGGCCACCTTTATTTATCTATTTACAATAAAACAATTGATGCCGAACCAATTTCCTTAAGTTTATTGCATATTTTAATTACAATTAATAAAAAAAAATCTATTTGCATCCAACATTGGCCTTCTTAACTAGTAGTGCAGCCAATCTTTCGTCATCTGCGCGTTTTTCGACTTGGAGGAACTGATCCAAGAGGGTCTTGGAGGCCGTTGCTATGAAATTGGGTTTCATTATGTCGAATTCTTTACCCACTAAAATTCAAAAATTGACAAAAAAAAACACAAAAGATGTGTTTAATTACAAGTGGAGTCGCCAACAGCTCCACCAGCCTCTTTGACTATTAGAACTCCGGCGGCGACGTCCCATGGGTATAACCCATCACATTGGTAGGCGTCCATGGAGCCTCGAGCCACATAACATAAGCCCAAAGCGGCCGAACCCATTGAACGAATTCTGTCAATTAAAAAAATTAATAAATTTAGTAATTTTTATCTTGAATGGTTGTTACCCCTGAATCACTGCGATTAAATGGGTCAGTCGGTAGAGATACAACTCGCGGTGTTTTTCAGACCGAGCCAGAGACAGTTCGTAATTAAGAACTGATTTTTGGATATCTAAATTATACAGGGTGTGTCAACTTTATTTAAAAAATACTGTTGTGTAATTTTTTGATGTTTAGTTGGCATCAACTGAAATGATTTTCACTAATAGAGCAAATTTCATAATTCCAGGATCGTACTAAAAATATTTTTTAAATGGCAATTTACATACATTTCTATTTTCTACGAACCGGTCCTGGAATAATGAGAATTCTTGCATATTTGGAAACAATTAATATATCAAAAAATTGCGATTGCATATTTGATAACAAAATCGGTATGTTCCGACTCGTATGTTAATCGGTGATTAATGGTGAATTACCGCACTCGCGACGCTTCGTACCTGTTTGTCGACTCGTAAAAATGCGTTTTCCATTCAAGTAGGCCCCTTGTCCCTTCATGGCAGTGTAGAGTTCATCCATGAAGGGGTTGTATATTACCCCCAAGACTGGTTCTTGGTTAATTGTCAGTCCTATCGAAATACACGTGATGGGAAAATTCCGGACGAAATTGGCCGTCCCATCGATGGGGTCTATAATCCAAGTTGGGTCATTTGTCAATTGGGAAATTTCGCTCTTTGCTGATGACTCTTCCTCCCCAATAAACCTAAAAATTTTGGTGTGATAGTTTGAAGAAAAAAATTGTCAATTACTTGTGGTTGGGGTATTTTGACTTAATTTCTTTGATGAGTACGTCTTCGACTTTTCGGTCGTAAATCGTCACCAAATCGTAGATTTCATCTTTCGTTTCAATTTCAATATTTTTAGCTTCCAGGATCACTTTTCCAGCCTTTTTGACCAGAGGTAAAACGAAATCGAAATAAATTTGGATTTGTTCACTCATCTTGGTTCACTCGAACACTGAACACTGAAGTAGAAATATAAACAAGTCCTTGAATCACTAATTGACTTTCAATTTTTTTCTAATCTTTTCCCCGGTTTAAGCTCAATGGAAATACCACTAGGCTCATAAACATCACGAGAAAAAATTAGCATGCATACAATTTGAATTTCTTCTATTTGACCTAGATAACGAAAGTAAAACTGAATTGTTTTCATATTTAAACAGTCTGAAGGCCTCGAATAAGATAATTTTCTTAATTAAAACCAGGTTGTGTAAATACGCATAATTATCAAATTTTCCAGAATCCGTCGTCATCGCCGGGGCCCCAAGGCCCGCCTCCGGGTCCACCTGGCCAGCCGGGACAACCTCCTCAAGGTCAGGAGAATTTAAACGCCCTCCAAAGAGCTATAGACTCCATGGAGGAGAAAGGGATGCAGGAGGATCCCAGATACTCGCAATTATTGGCCCTGAGGGCCAGAACCAATGGAAGTAATACGATTTTTAGCCCTATGCAAATGGCGCAATTAAGGGCCCAGATAATGGCCTATAGGATGTTGGCAAGGAATCAGCCCTTAAGTCCGCAGATTGTAAATGCTGTGCAAGGGAAGAGGCCCGATGGGACTCCTCAGTGTCCTACGCCCCCCTCAAGTCCATTTCAGCCACAAGGACCACAGCCCCAGGTGAGTAATGCATGTTGAGTTTTAGTTTAGAGAGTAATAAAGCTGTAATCCATTTGTTTTTGCCGAGGATTACGGAAAACCCATTGTGTACCCAAAAAAATTAAACAATAAGTAATTTTGAGAAATTTTGTCTTGACAATAGTTATTTATTCGACGAGTTTGAGTGTAAATCGGACGCTTTATTTGACCGAGTGGATTTTTAAACCACAAGTGTAACGAGTGGTTTACCATCCACGAGGTGGAATAAAGTGTCCGATTTACACTCAAACGAGTTGAATACAACATTTTATTCTTCGAATTAGACTCATCAAGGCTTAAACTTGCTTTAAATCGGTTAAAAATAATTTGACGTTTCGTATTGAGAAATGCTAAACAGTTGTCAAAACTTCCTTACACGGGAGGAAAACCGTAAATTTTGACAGTGTCGAAGAATAAAACTTTTTTAGCAATCAAAAACACGAAAAATAAATTTTATGAGAGTAGATTCTACAGGTAATTAAATGGACGATAGAAAAAAATAAGAATAAACTTGTAATAATAATGATAATAATAATGAAAAAACAAACAGGAGCAATAACGACCAATAGAATAAAAAATGTTAATTTCTCATAAATAATAAAATTATAATAATAAAAAGAATATAACTGTCTTTTTTATGATTTAATTAAAAATACTAAAAATTACAAAATACAAATTAAATATTAGTTACACAAAATGAGTCAAGGTCATACCCTGTATAACCTGTTCAAAAAATCGCGCACTTCCGTGACACTATATCATCGGGCGGTGCCCTAGACAGCAAAAAAAAATGTTTTCTATCTCTAAAAATTCCGAAGTTATGAGAGTTTAAATTTTGCACTATGTCTGTTTATTTCTATTGGAAAAATAATTTTCCAAGTTTTTTTACTACAGGCTATTGTAATTCTGTTAAGTGTTATTTGTTACTTTTATTGACAAAATTTATGTAGCTTTAGTGAATAATTGTAAAAAAAACATATACAAGATCATCAGTATCATTAAATAGACTTAAAAAATGTCAAATGTCAAAAAATAAATATCAAAATTTTTTGACAGATAGAATTTTTTAAACATTTTTTCAGTACTTTGGGGGACTACCCAATTACTCCCTTTCAAGGAAGTGTGCGATTTGTTGAACAGCCTGTATAATCTTCAGAGTTTAATTGGCATTACATTGCCAGTGCAATGACATTGACAATGACAATGACACTGACATTACAACCACAGAAGCAAATGAACAGGTGTCATTTCTATGTCAGTACATAGAAATGACACCTGTTCATTTGCTTCTGTGGTTGTAATGTCAGTGTCATTGTCATTTTTGAGGTGTAACTTGACGCACATTTTGTATAGTTAGTGACAACGTATGTTTAACTCATTTTATGCACATAACGTACACTTATTGTCGTATCAACAAGAAATTACTACTTAGGAGTTAGGGATATTCGTGACTAGGTTGCCATAAATTTGGTTAGGTTGGTTTCTGCTGGTGACAAAACAGAGATATCGTAACTAGTGTCAAAAATTTGTATGAATAACTCAATTGATAGTTGAGAGTAGGTTGACAGAATACGTCAACCGTCAACCACAAATTACTTCTGAGAATTCTAGTTAGAAACCACATGAAAACGTAATTTTCCTAAAAGTTCAAATTCAAGGTTGATAAATTTTAAACTTAATAAGACGAAAAAACCAAAAAAAAAATTGACTAAGAGGAAAAACGAAGAATATTTAGAATCTTAAAATAAGCATTGGATTTTTTTATAGTGTATTTTAATTAATAACTAACAAGACATATATTTTAAATTTGAGTTGTTACACTTTTTATATAAATATTTTTTATCAGAATTGCTAATTAATTTTTGCTCACCCTGTTACTATTATTGCCTTTCCTTTTATGCTGTGCTGAATTTTTTGCTTGCTCGTGCTGTTTTGTAGTGATTATTAGTTTAAAACTAGCATGCAAATGTGGTAGAAAGTCTTACCTAAATAATAAAAAAAAAAAAACAACATAAAATACGCAACAACTTGCGACCGATAAAAACCCATTTAGAACCATTAAAACTCAACGAATTAGCATTTTAATCACGAAAAAAGTAGTGCATCAGTAGATAGTAGTAGTGCAGTGCATGTTTAGACTAATTACGAAAAAAAAGCAAAATGGAATTAACGAATTTATAGGGTGGTCCACCCGCTAGCGAAGCTAACGAACCACTTCCACCGGAAAGTGGCGCTTCACAACAAGCGATGCGACCTCCGGGACCGCCCGGATCCCAAACGGGACCCACTTCGGGTCCTCCCGGACCTGTCCAACAACAGGTAAAATCCACTTTTTCAAAGCATAGCATTCGAGCAATGGCAATAATATAATTACAAATGTAGGGAATGATCGAATTAGTGATTGAATTTGATTTAGGCTCAAATACAAGGAGTGAAACCCGGCCCTCCGGCCCAACAGAACGCCACTGGGATCAGGCCCGGAGCACCTAACCAACCGAATCAAACCGGAAACCAGCAAACTTCTACTAAACAAAACCGGGTTACTACGGTACCAAAACCGGTCGGAATCGATCCGGTGGTTTTGCTACAGGAACGCGAAAATCGGTTAGCGTCGAGAATAGCAGCCCGAATGGAACAGTTGAGTAATTTACCGACGAACATGTCCGAGGATTTACGAATTCAAGCGCAGATTGAGTTAAGGGCTTTACGATGTTTAAATTTTCAAAGACAATTGAGAAGCGAGATAATTGCGTGTACAAGACGTGATACGACTTTAGAGACCGCTGTCAATGTTAAAGCTTATAAGAGGACGAAAAGGCAAGGTTTACGCGAAGCTCGGGCTACTGAAAAGCTGGAAAAACAACAGAAATTGGAAGCTGAGAGGAAGAGGCGACAGAAACATCAAGAGTTTCTCACTTCTGTCCTCCAACACGGGAAGGACTTTAAAGAGTTCCATCGGAATAATCAAGCGAAGTTGGCGAGGTTAAACAAGGCCGTGATGAATTACCACGCTAATGCCGAACGTGAACAAAAGAAAGAACAAGAACGTATCGAGAAAGAACGTATGAGGCGACTCATGGCCGAAGACGAAGAAGGTTATAGGAAATTGATTGATCAGAAAAAGGATAAACGCTTGGCGTTCCTCTTATCGCAAACCGACGAGTATATTGCCAACTTGACCGAAATGGTAAAACAACACAAATTGGAACAGAAACGCAAACAACAAGAGGAAGAGAAGAGGAAAAAGGTATGGATGTGTGTATTCATGTCGTATGTTTTGACTTGACTGTTCCAGAAGAAGAAGAAACGAGCCGAAGGGTTGTTGGCTGATGGTTCCCAAGGGTCTGATAGGCCGGTCACTGTGATTGAAACCACAACTGGCAAAAAATTATCAGGAGAAGATGCACCAATGTTGAGTCAATTGCAGGAGTGGTTACTACAACATCCAGGATGGGAGGCTATGGATTCGGATGATGAGGATTCGGATGATGATGAAGAAGAAAGTGGGTTTGGTGAGAAATATCATCACTGTTTTAAAATAAAATTCTTCTAGATAAAAGAAGAGACGATGAGAATAGATCTGAAGAAGATAAAGCTAAAGATGTTATCAATAAAGCAAAAGTTGAAGATGATGAGTATCACAAGAATGCAAATGAAGAGCAGACTTATTACAGGTAGGTTGTCTAAAAATAATGTGAAATTGTGGTACAAGCCCGAATTTTAGTATTGCTCACACTGTACATGAAATCGTAACTGAACAAGCTTCCATCATGGTCAATGGTAAATTAAAAGAGTACCAAACCAAAGGTTTGGAATGGTTGGTATCTCTCTATAACAACAATTTGAACGGGATTTTGGCCGACGAGATGGGTTTGGGTAAAACCATTCAAACTATAGCCCTTATCACTTATTTAATGGAGAAGAAGAAGGTTAATGGCCCTTATCTCATCATAGTACCTCTATCGTAAGTCGCAATTTCTATAAAGAAATTGGCGCAGTTCAATTTTATTATTTCACAGAACTTTATCAAACTGGGTACTCGAGTTCGAAAAGTGGTCCCCTTCTGTGGTGGTGGTGTCTTATAAGGGCTCCCCGGCCGGCCGTAGAGCCATCCAGAGTCAAATGCGTTCGACTAAATTTAACGTTCTTCTGACCACTTACGAATATGTGATCAAGGATAAGGGAGTATTAGCAAAACTCCCTTGGAAGTATATGATAATCGACGAAGGTCACCGAATGAAAAACCACCATTGCAAACTAACTCAAGTTTTAAACACCCACTATTTAGCCCCTCATCGTCTCCTTCTTACCGGTACTCCTCTTCAAAACAAACTCCCCGAGTTGTGGGCCCTTCTCAATTTCCTCCTTCCTTCGATTTTCAAAAGTTGCTCAACTTTTGAGCAATGGTTCAATGCACCCTTTGCCACAACTGGTGAAAAAGTTGAATTGAATGAAGAAGAAACGATTTTGATTATTCGACGTTTGCATAAAGTTCTCCGACCGTTTTTACTCAGAAGATTAAAGAAAGAAGTGGAGTCGCAATTACCCGACAAAGTCGAGTATATAATCAAGTGTGATATGTCAGGATTGCAAAAAGTTCTTTACAAGTAAGTTGGTGGGTTTTTGATATGATTTGAATAATAATTGGGTTGTAGACATATGCAAAGTAAGGGTGTTTTATTGACCGATGGCTCCGAAAAGGGTAACAAGGGTAAAGGGGGCGCGAAAGCCCTGATGAATACTATAGTACAGTTGAGGAAATTGTGTAATCATCCATTTATGTTCCAAAATATCGAGGAGAAGTATTGTGACCACGTGGGGATTTCGGGTGGAGTCATTTCAGGGTCAGTGGACGATACTTGAATCATCGATTACTATATGTTTTTTTTATAGACCTGATTTATACCGAGCGTCTGGAAAGTTTGAACTTTTGGATCGAATTCTCCCGAAATTGAAAGTGACAGGTCATCGAGTCTTACTTTTCTGTCAAATGACGCAACTTATGACCATCATGGAGGACTATCTATCGTGGCGAGGTTTCGGTTACTTGCGTCTAGATGGTACCACCAAAGCCGAAGACCGTGGCGACCTCTTGAAGAAATTCAATGCGAAAAACAGTGATTATTTCTTGTTTTTGCTATCCACAAGAGCCGGTGGTTTGGGTTTGAATTTGCAAAGTGCCGATACTGTCATTATTTTCGATTCAGATTGGAATCCCCATCAGGTAATAACGATTACACGAGGCGACAAAAAAAAAGTCATGTCATGACAACTTGACAAATTTTATCACATTTTGTGCGTCTCAGTGAGACAAATCAAATGCACTAAAAAAATTTAGAAAGGCCACACACTTTGAACATAATAATTTATTTCTAATTTAAATGAATTTAAGATAATTTAACTTTAAAAAATCATTACTCAATAACTATTAGGCCGATTTTCTTCAAATAAAGACCATTCTAAAAGGATGGCCTTGCCCTTTAGAATGATTTAAAATTTGAAATTGAATATTGGCAAGCTTTTGTTCGAACAGTGTTCGAAGTAAATAATCTAAGAAACACCCTACGAGTAATTTTTTTTTCATTATTACCATCGTGTAGAGCATCTCTTTATTAGTTGTAATCTAGATTTTCAAAAAAATATACCGAGTAGTTTTCAAGATATGGTTTTTTTGAAGTTATGGTTTGCTAATCAAGCATTGCTCCATATAGGAGAAATGCATGTTAATCTTACTTAAAATTGCACTTTTATAAAAGTATTTGTTTTAAGACTCAATTGCACCTTCTTTGTTCTAATTACAATAAACAAAAACTGTTTGTTTACTTAAAACAAATAAAGAGTACATGCGTACTAATTAAAGCAAATAAAGAGTTTTTTGTTTTAAAAATGACCACTGATCATTGAACAAAGAGGATCTAGAAGTTTATGGCACGAGCCTTAAATATAAGGGCAAATCTTTTTCAAATCAAATCACTTTCCATTCAGATTTTGACTTGTTCACTTTGTTCTATCTTTCTGACCTTTTTTTTTGAAAATGTTCTGAGCAAATGCTTTCTCATCACTTTTGAGTGCTGTTAAATGCAATAAGTCACCTGATTTATTCTGTTGGTACATTCTACGATCAGCTTCACTTAGCTTGTAGGTAGTAGTTGTTGTGATAACAGTTGCACACGAAGCAACTGACTTATTGCATTCAACGTCAGTAGAAAGTGATGAAAAAGCATTTGCTGAGAACATTTTCAAAAAAAAAGTTCAGAAAGCTAGAACAAAGTAAACAGGTTGGAATCTGAATGGAAAGTCATTTAATTTGAAAAAGATTTGTTCTTATATTTAAAGCTAGAACAAATAAGGTGCAATTGACCATTTTTAAGCAAAAGAAGAGTCTTAAAACAAATACTTTTATAAAAATGCAATTTTAAGTAATATTAACATGCATTTCTCCTATATGGCACAATACCTGAATAGCAAACCTTAACTTCAAAAAGAACATATCTTAAAAACTACTCGGTATATTATTTTAAAAATTTGGATTCTTACTAATAAAAAAAATGCTCTACATGATGGTGACGAAGAAAAAAAAATTACTCGTGGGGTTTTTCTTAGATTACTTCGAACTTCTTCGAACACTGTCCGAAGAAAAGTTTGACAATATTCAATTTCAAATTGCATATCATTCTAAAGGGCAAGTCCATCCCTTTAGAATTGTCTTTATTTGAAGGAAATCGGCCTAATAGTTATTGAGTAATGATTTTTTAAAGTTAAAGTATTTTAAATTCATTTAAATTAGAAAAAAATTAATTAGTTCAAAGTGTGTGGACTTTTTTAAATTTTTCTAGTGCATTTGATTTGACTTACTGAGACGAACAATATGATATAAAATATGTCAAGTTGTCACGACATGACTTTTTGTTTTGTCGCCCTGTGTTAATTCACTTACTCGTTTATTAATCGGCGACTTAATAGGACTTGCAAGCCCAAGATCGTGCTCATCGTATCGGTCAACAAAACGAAGTGCGTGTTTTGCGTTTGATGACTGTGAATTCGGTTGAGGAGCGAATTTTAGCCGCCGCCCGGTATAAATTAAACATGGATGAAAAGGTCATCCAGGCGGGAATGTTTGACCAGAAGAGTACAGGATCGGAGAGGCAGCAGTTCTTGCAGAGTATTTTGCATCAAGATGGCGATGAAGAAGAGGTAAAACAATGTTAAAGTGTTTTGTAATAGGTGATGAGGTTACAAGTTTAGGAAGAAAATGAAGTCCCCGATGATGAAACTGTCAATCAAATGGTGGCGAGGTCTGAGGCCGAATTCGAACTTTTCCAAAAAATGGATTTGGAGAGAAGACGTGAGGAGGCGAAATTGGGTCCAAACCGAAAACCTCGTATGATGGAAATTAGTGAGCTTCCGGATTGGTTGGTGAAGGATGATGATGAGGTCGATCCGTGGAATTATGATGAAACAGAGTCGGCTTTGGGTCGAGGGACTAGACAGAGAAAGGAAGTTGATTATACTGATAGTCTGACGGAGAAAGAGTGGCTAAAAGCGATTGATGAAGGAGGGGATTATGATGATGAAGACGATGAAGAAGAAAAAGTTAAAAAGAGACGTGGACGAAAGAGGAAAAAGAGAGGAGATGATTCGGATAGTGAAGTTGGGACTAGTAAAAGGAGAAGAGGGCAGTCGAGCGCTGATTTAAAAGTGAAACGTCAAATGAGAAAATTAATGAATATTGTGACGAGATATACAGACAGGTAAGAAACACGAGTTGCATACATTTTTTTCTATGATTTTTTTAGTGACGGTCGTCTTTTGAGCGAACCGTTTATGAAATTACCACCTCGGAAAGACTACCCAGACTATTATGAAATTATTAAAAAACCGATGGACATCAATAAGATTTTGGGTCGAATTGAGGACGGAAAAGTAGCTAAATCGATTTCAAAAACAAAGACCTAAACTTTTTTTTCAGTATAACGATTTTAATGACCTCGAACGTGACTTTATGCTTCTGTGTCAAAACGCCCAAATCTACAACGAAGAAGCATCGCTCATCTATGAAGATAGCATCGTTCTTCAATCGGTTTTCACCAATGCGAAGCAACGTATCGAGTCAGGTGTTCCAGACTCGGATGATGATAAAGATGAAGATAAATCAGACAGTGAATCGGTGAAAATGAAGATAAAATTGAAGAATAAAAAAACCAGTGGTCGGCGTAAACGCGCGGCAAAGAGATACGTCTCGGATGATGACGACGATGACGATGATTAAGTATTTCATTGGTGATAAGTTAGTTAAGCAAGAAAGAATTAGTACCTACAGGTTAAACAAATCGTGTAATACTACTGAGTTTAATTAATTGTTCGATTTTTGTATTTATTTTGAAAAAATGTAAGTATCTAGGTTGTAGGTATGTGGATTCATGTCTATCTGTAACACTAATACACAATTTGAAAAGAATTATTTATTTTGTTGGTATTTTGATTTCTGCAAATTCCTCAGCGAACTCCTCCTTGGAGCTGGTCCTGAATGGCTCCTCATCATAATAATCAAAATTGCTAGTGTCTCCTGCATCTCTCACTTTGGGTTTGAATGATGGCTTGACTCTCCGACGCAAAATCTGGTCGAAATCTACACTTTTAAACCACTCGTGACCTTTCACGTCCTTGCTTCCGTTTTTCAAAATTCCATACCTAATAAACATATTTGCACTTATTTACTTCCTCGTGATAATTAAATTAAAAGACTTTCCATAAATTTCATTAAAAAATTATCATTGAGGTGAAAGTTACTCGTGAAGCGTGCCGAGAATTAGGGCTTTACACGTGGAAATGCGTTAAACAATGAGTGGCATTGAAAAGATGTTTTTCGCGGCTGAAAAGATAAACATTTGTATATTTAGGACATCCGTTCGAAGATCGGTTTCACGGTTAATCGCGTTGAGACAAAGGAATTGCTCGGTTTTTGTAACAATAATCAGAGCGGATTTTATTTAATTTTTTCACAAATTGTAGAACCAACTCGTATATTAGTCGACGATTGAGAAACTATACAATCAGCGCACTTGCCTCTGTGCTAAACTAATTGCGTCGCATTTATCGAAAGTTTTCTGATTCAAATCACTTTCATTTCAAACGGAAATTGCTTCGAATTATTTTCTCAAATGTCATTTCCAAATGCGTTTTCACCGGATGCATTATTTTATTCTGTATTAACAAAATTTTGTTATTGCAGTCAAGTGGAAAAAATATTTTTAGTTGTGAATTTTTGTTGTTGAGACGTAAAAAATCCACAAGTCAATGTTATGTGTCTAAATTTAGCCCATGTCGAGGTGATATCCGGCATTTTATCACAGACGACAGAATTATTTAAAAATTTTAAATTAAAAACTACACACAAATTTTGCTCAAAATAAATTGTGATTAAAAAACGAAAGCTTAATCGTGACTTGAAGTGAAATTAAAAGTTACATTAAAACATATGTTAGACGCGCATCACTTTTTCTCCACTTTCTTCAGAAAATCGGAATAAAATCTTTGTTTTTAGCACTTGTAAAATTCCAATTATTTTAAGCTTTTGGCAGCGTATCTATTTATTTAAACCAAATACCAATTTCGTTTACAACCTTCCATAAATAATAAACTTTCGCACGTGGCGATATTTATTTTGTACCTTTTTGTCCTGTCAACTTGCAAAATATTTGCCACGAGGTCTCGCAGCGCTTTGGAAAAATGCTGAGGACAGGTGAATTTTCCCGAGACGATTTTCTCGTATATTTTCATCGGATCCTTGGCGTAGAATGGCGGATATCCAGCCGACATTTCGAAAATCAAGACACCAATTGCCCACCAATCAACTGATTTGTTGTAGCCTTGACTGAGGATGATTTCAGGTGCTAGGTATTCGGGAGTTCCTGATAAGATAACAGGGTTGTTAATTAGTGGTTTTATCGAGGATAATGACGGCTTTTACAGACTGCTTGGCGGTTTTGTGCTCCCACTGCCGTTAAAGAGCGTTCACCTCGACGAAAATTGTCAGTTATTTTTATCAAAGGTGTGAATTTTTTGAATCGTAGGACGCCGAGTGAGCGATATTGGGGGTGTGAGGGGATGATACATCAATTATTTGAAATATCTAGACGCGTTAATAAAGTAGACGAGCAAAAATTGATGATAATTGACAAAACTCGGAAAAATGTGGATGACATTGAAGTTTGAGGGGCGATATATTAAATATCAATGATTTCGGTAGACAATATTTCGATCTAAATTATAACAAAAGCGATCAAAAATTAATGTAAAATACAATACAAAAAATGTGATATTCAAACTTAAGGGTTTTGTATGCTATTTTGATATTTTAAATGGTTGTTAGTTGGCGATGTATGTAGGTATTAGGTGTATCAACAAATTACACCAATTTTTGATTCTAGCGAACGGATTTTAGGATGTTAAAAAATGCTAAAAAGGATATTATAATAGAAAAATAGGTCATAAAATCCTAGAGAATATGGTTTTTTAATTTATAATATCTTAGAAAATAATAAATCAAATTCAGTGTGTCCCCGGATTGAGTTTGCAAAAGTAAATAAAAATTATCATTAATTTTACGCCAAAACTTCAAAAGAATTACACTTCTTGCTTAACCTGAAACGAACAAATCTATAATTAAAACTTCATTATTCTGACTTACGATCGTGATTCTGACTCAGTGTTAAGAAAAGTCATTCATTTTTCTATTAACTTGAAATAATTTTTGTTATTTAACTTGCGTAAACTCTTATGCTTTGTCCAAAATCAAAAGAAAAATGAACTTTAACTGAGTTAGAATAATAATAAAGTTTTAATTACAGATTTACGCGTTTCAGTTTAAGCAAAAGAAAAGTTATTCCTTTGTACATTTGCCACAATATCAAAAAAAAAAATTCTTCTTGAAAATTCAATCCGGGGACATAAACCTCGTGCTATAGTATTTTTTTAATGAGAAATTGGTCATAAACTTTTGATTTCTGTGTAAAAGAAGAATCTGTGTTACCAATGAATTCTATTAGAATTCTATTCTAACAAATTTTGAATCAGAAGGTTTCACTATTTCATACAGGAAAAAGATTATGAGAAGTCACAGAAGTGGCGATAAAATAAAGATATTACATTCTTATTTCTATAGCTTGGGACTTTTCTATGGCTATACTGACAAATAAATTGTAATTTTGCATTTTTTCCAACTTTCCTCCAAAAAATTCATTCCTTTCACGTAGATATCAAAAAATCTTTTCAATTAAAAGTCAAAATTTTCCTAAAGTTGGCAATTTAAATAGATATTTTATTGCGTTTTCATGTGGTCCAAATGCCATTTGTCTACGTATTATGGTTCTTAAGATTAACTCGATGAAGTATTCGAAACAAAGAATTTTTACGATTTTTAATGTCAGTTGTATGTTTATTTATGTACATTAATAAAATTTAGTAAATGATTAGTAAAAGGTATCAACATTACCTAACATATACAAAAATCAAAGTCACATCTTTTATAATTTGTGAGATAACTGTAGTTGAATTTGACCAAAAACAGCACTTTTTCGCAGAGCGCCACTTTAACATAAATTTTAACTAAATATTTATATCGAGAGATCAAGATAATTCATCTTTGGATCCAAAAACGTATGTCTGTGAAACGGCAAATAAAATGACAAGTCGAAAGGTAAAACGGTAGGTATGTTCAAAAAAATGATGATTTTATAAACTAAATTTATTATTTAGGTACCTTCAAAAAAGACCGTTAACGGTCAGCGACTAATTCTAGCCCATTTTGCAGTTTTATCTTTCAATTTGTCATTATACGTTTCACGTGCACTTTCTTCAAAAACAGAAATACGTTTTCGGATCCAAAGATGATTCAATTACAAATTATCTTGATCTCTTGATATTTAAAGAAACTTGACAAATTGGTCGTTGCACATATTTTTTTTTATTGCATATTCTGAATCTTTATTAAAAAATAATTGACCCATGTTTTCGTTTTTTTTTGGAAATCTTAATTTTAGTACAAAAAATATACAGGCTTCTTTTTTCTTGTTTTTCACTAACAAAAAATGGGTTTTTTACTTTTAAGAAATGATCATGTTTGTCGTTTTTCAATCGACTGAATTTTCAACGATTTTGATGAATTCTATTTGGATATTTTTCTGTAGTCTGATGTCTTTTCTTTAAGTTCGTTTTTAATGCATTTGAAAAATATTTCAAGCTTGTCTACCAATTGTCAAAAACTGACAAACTAATTTTGTCAAACCAACAATTAAACTGTATCCAAGCATTTTTTTTATTCACACCTTTCTTTAAAATTAAAAATCAGGCTACGCGACCAATTTCCTTATGAAATTCTAAGATTTAAGATGTTTTCTGATTGCTTTGTGTTACGCAAAATGTAATAAATAGTGGTTTACCGTATTTTTCATGTCAATTATTATTGTTTCGAGGAAAAAAACATGGGTATTCCATTTGAAAAACTAAATTTGGTAGCATTTCCGGCAACACCTGTGCTAAAAAAATTTGATACATTTATTACGAAAGCCCAGAATAAATATTATTATTTAAATATTTACTTTTTGAAAAAAAGAAGTAAGTTTAGGTGTTATCAGCCGGGGCGACTTAAACCGAACATCCTGTATATCAAAAACTCGTAAAATGAAATAAATTCAAAACGCGCGCGTTTTGTTTTTTATCCAGGGCACGGAAGTAGGTATTACCTACTTTCGTAGCTAACAACAAGGACCTCGCATATTTCACTTCCGGTTGAGACTGTAAATTCAAAATAGTAAACTTGACTTACTTATTAAAGCGGAGAAGGAAAAAATATACCTAATGACAGAAAGGCGATAAGACAGTCCCGAAATAAAGTTAAAAAAAATAAATTATTTGTAATAAAGAATTTCAAAAAAGGCTATGTTTGGTGTTTAGGACGAATACTGGCGTTTTAGGATTTTAAGACGCAAGAAACGTTTAAAATTTTGGGTCCCTTCTACGGGCTTTAAATACAGGATGCGCCAGAACTCACGCCCCAGAGAAAAATGCCATATAAGGTAAGATACCAGGAACATGGAAAAAATGTTAAAAAAAAATATCTATAAAAATTTCGAAGTTATGAGGATTTAAAGTTTGCACTTTGACTCTATTTATTTCTGTTGGAAAAATAATTTTCCAAGTTTTTTTGCTATAGGTTATTAAAAGAGGAAACAAGGAAACTGTATCCTAAATTGTAACTATGTTCAATGTTATTTGTGGCTTTTATTGGCAAATTTTTTGTTCCTTTACTAAATAATTGTAAAAAAAACATATACACGATCATCAGTATCATTAAATTGTCAAATGTCAAAAAATAAATGTCAAAATTAAATTAAACATTAAAATTAAACATTTTTTTCTTGTTCCTGATATCTTAGCTTACTTGAAAATTTTCTCTGGGGCGCGAGTTTTGGTGCACCATGTAGAATCAAAAAGACATTTTACCTAAAATCCGGTCTCTATTGATTATTGATATCAAATTATCAAGAATTATCAACTATATTTGGTGATATTGACTATCAGAATCAAAACAAAATATCACCACCGACTCACCACATAGCGTGTACGTCCTTTGATCATCAATCTTCTTCGCAAACCCCAAATCCGTCACTTTTAAATACCCATCTTTATCAATCAAGATATTCTCCGGTTTCAAATCCCTATACACCATCCCCAAAAAATGCAAATACTCAAATGCCAGAATGACTTGCGCGGCATAAAACTTGCTCAACGTTTCGTCAAACTTCTTCATGTTTCTCAAATGCGAAAACATCTCTCCCCCGTTAATGAACGGCATGACAATGAACAAATAGACGTTGTCTTTGAAAAAATAATCAAGATTTATCACGAAATCAAATCGGACTGCATCCAGAACTCGGATTTCGTACATAGTATGTGCGACTTGTTTGCTCTTGACGATGTGGAATTTATCCATGCATTTCATGGCGTAGAGTTTATCGCCCTTTGTCTTGTGCTTGACGAGGACGACGCGTCCGAAAGAACCAGCACCGAGGGTTTTGATCAGTTGGAAGTCGGAGAGGTCGGCGTTCGGCTTGAATTCCACCACTTTGTACCGATTGTCGAAGTCTTTTTTCGCACGTTTGAGGAAGATGTCGTATTCCAGGTAGTGTTTGTTGAGTTTTTCTTGCTCCATTGAGGGGTGAGGCGTTCCAAGTGACAGTTGACTAGTGTCAGATTTGACAACATATTTCAAATTGAGAAAAAATTGAGTTGTCACTTATTTTTTTCCAATGATTTCCCAAGACAAGTTTTCTGCATCAAGACCACTGCTCTTATTAATCATAATTATATTAACGACAAGCTTTTATTATTGCTATTATGTATCTACTCTACGTAAAGGAAAAATTTGTCCTTAAACCCAGCCTTTGGAAGAGAAAGTTACGGAAAATGTGTGGAATAAATCTCTGATTAGATAAAAAAATTATCGAAAAAATTTATTTAGAATTCTAAACAGTACACGAAGTTTCCGTCAAGATAGTGATTCAAAATCGTATAAACAAAGTCGGACCTTGACCCTAAATAATGTTCCTACTGTTCCTGTTCGTAATTTTACTACCAACAATGATTAACCTTCGTTTATTATTTTTTATCTACGTATATTTGTGTTTATTTTATTTTTTCTATAGCAGATGTTAAACTATTTCTTTATCAACTCTTTTGAGTAGATAAAGTAGCACTTTAACCGCAAGGGTAGATAAAGTAACACTTTAACAGCAATGGTAGATAAAATGTTTTAACTTATTTTATTTATTTAAATTTACAAATTTTATCATCCACAAGGTGGAATAAAGCGTTTGATTTACACTCAAATGAGTTGAATACAATATTTTATTCTTCGAATTAGACTCAACAAGGCTTAAACTTGCTTTAAGTCTGTTAAAAATAATCTGACGTATTGAGAAATGCCAAAAATTGTATTTTTTTTAAAACTTTATTTTTTCTTTAACAAAAAATGTTGTATTATACACGACGATAAAGATTGTTTATCGTTTTGTATAATAAATCACTATTTTTCATTTGCGTTTGATTCATCGGATAGCAATATTTTTGCTAATTATTTAAAAAAAACTAGGTAAGTAGTAAGGACAAGTAATACAAAATTGCTATAAAGGGTAATGTAAATCAAATCCTCTGAATTTTTTTCTCTAAAACGAAATGTTTTGAAGAAATGGGAAACTGCCAGTTTTTATATTATAATTAAACATACGTGTTGTAAAATCCATAACAAACAGGATTTTTTGTTATATTTCGAAAATATTTCTCCGTTTATTTAATAATTTTCGAAAAAAGTGAAAGAAAAACATTTAGTAAACGTAAATTGTTAAAAATACAAACAAAAATTTGTACAGCACTTTCAAAAATAGTTATTACAAAAGCCTATTTATTTTGTTAGATCATATAGGTATCCCAGAGCTCCGTATTTCTTCGATTACTCTGACAGTAAAGAAGATAACAAAATGCGGTTTCTTTTGGACGATAGACATTCATTTTTTCTATGATCCAAAAACATTTTCGTCATTATAGGTGGCGCAACAAAGTTATATTTTTTCTTACGGAACACCCGGTGTATTATGCGCTTATTTGAAAGAGTTTTTAATTCTAAGAAAATCCATATTAGGTTTTATGGATCTATCATGGACCGTTTATCATTTATGTGCAATTTAAAAGTACCATTTTTGAAAAATCACAACGGCTTTGTTAGAAGGAAAGAGTGAATAAAAACAATTGCAATAATTTTTACTGAGTGTGGTCGTGAATTATTATGGTTGAAATTCGATTAAACTTTTGCAACTACTGGAGAGTGTCGACATTCGCAAACTATCAAGTAGATAATTTGATTTCTTTAATGAAACACCCTGTATGTTATTACTTTATTATTACTTTATTTACCTAATTAGAAAATAGAGATGGACTAATGCAAACATTGAGTTTGAGGATAATAATTTTTAGTGAAAATGAAAAAAGGTCATGTATCAACTATTTTTTCTAATTTTTCGCTGAAAATCACATAAAAAATTAAAAATGAATCTAGAAAATGTTAGATTTTAAACAATTTTGCGAATTATTTAAAAAAAAAAACTAGGTTAGTATTAAGGACAGTAATACAAAATTGCTCTAAATCAAATTCTTTGAAATTTTTTCTCTAACGAAATGTTTTGAAGAAATGGGAAACCTGATAAGGAAAATGCCAGTTTTTATGTTATAATTAAAAATACGTGTTGTAAAATCCATAACAAACAGGATTTTTTGTTACATTACGAAAATATTTCTCCTTTTATTTGATAATTTTCAAAAAAAGTGAAAGAAAAACATTTAGTAAAAGCAAGTTTTATTTAGAAATTATTTTTGACGCAAATTGTTAAAAATACAAACAAAAATTTTTATAGCACTTTCAAAAATAGTTATTACGAAAGCCTATTTATTTTGTTAGATCATACAGGATGTCCCAGAGCTTCATATTTCTTAGATTACTCTGACAGTAAAGAAGATAACAAAATGCGGTTTCTTTTGGACGATAGACATTCATCTTTTCTATAGTCCAAAAATATTTTCTCATTATAGGTAATTCCTATATAGGGTGGCGCAACAAAGTTATATTTTTTTCTTACGGAACACCCGGTATATTAAGCGCTTATTTAAAAGAATTTTTAATTCTAAGAAAATCCATATGAGTATTACGTTTTATGGATCTATCATGGACCGTTTATCATTTATGGGAAATTTTATGAAAAAAGTACCATTTTTGAAAAATCGCAGCGGCTTTGGTAGAAAGAAAAAGTGAATAAAAACAATTGCAATAATTTTTACTGAGTGTGGTCCTAAATTATTATGGTTGAAATTCGATCAATTTTTTGCAACTACTGGAGACTGCAACTACTGGACTAATGCCAAAAATCAAGTAACTTGATTATTTAAAATAAACACCCTGTATGTTATTACTTTATTTACCTAATTAAAGTAGAAAATAGAGATGGACTAATGCAAACATTATAGTTTGAGGATAATGATTTTTAGTGAAAATGTATCAACTATTTTTTCTAATTTTTCGCGGAAAATCACATAAAAAATTAAAAATGGATCTAGAAAATGTTAGATTTTAAACAACTGAACTGTCTTTAATATATTCGAAATATAATATTCCTACCTAATTAAAATGTAGTTTGTTTAAAAAAAATGTGGAAAATGTGTGGGAACATCCAAATATAACCAAAAAATGTCTTTAGTTGCATATATCAAGCGATCAAGATCATTTGTAATGGAGTCATCTTTGCATCCGAGAACGTATGTCTAACTACACGTGAAACGTCAAATAAAATGACAAGTCGAAAGGTAAAACGGCAAAATGGGCTGGAATTAGTCACCGATGTATAATAATATATGAGTAGGACAGCTGTTTTTTGAAGGTAAATTATAAATTTAGTTATTATAATCATCACCTTTTTCATCAGGCCATTTTACCTTTCGACTTGTCATTTTACTTGACATTTTACAGACATACGTTTTCGAATCCAAGGATGACTCGATTACAAATTATCTTGATCGCTCGATACTTTCTGCAAACTGTGAACAAATCCTTAATGAAATTTGTACAAAAAATTTGCGATCAAAAGGTTTATCTATCAAGCAAGCAAAATAAGAAATGTCAAAATATTGTTTTGTAAACTGTAACAACAAATCGTGGTGAACGATTTGTATAAATAAACTCCAACTACATCTCATTTTAGGGTGTTTTAAGATGTTTCATACAGTAATTAAATTTGTTTAGATCAATATTTTAATTTTTATAAAATAATTTTTTGACATCTAGCTGACATACAAACTTCCAAGCGACATACGTCCTCAACTAGTACGCCTACTTGATAGAAAGACTTTTTAATCACACTGTATTATTATTTAGTTATTTTACTATAGGGTTGTATAACAACTTTCCTCCTTATTTTTTATACTTTATTTTTTTGGTTATAATTATTTATAATGTGAAAACAATATTTTTTGTAAAAGTAAAAAGAAATCTCGTAGTAATTTCCACTTTGAATTAAGATTATTTAGGTGAAATAAACCCCAAAAATGACAGATTTTGTCCAGTTGAAATGCTTTGGTTCATCCAGATATACAAACAGGAAATCTCAAAAATAATTGCAACGACAGCTGACATAAATCAGAGTAAAATATGTGCTGAGGACAAAATAATTTATAATCTTTCGTATGTAATTAGTTTAAAATTAAAAAAATGCCTCGACCGTTGAACCACCCTTCAAAAATGGAATTTTTCTGGCCAACATCCAAGCTTTTTTCAATTTACTACTTCCCGATTTAAAGGTTCAATGTCTCATATGAGATATCTTTTGTCTACCTGAACCAAAATTCGAATTTTAAATTGTTTTCGTGAAAATTTCTCGAAAATACGAGGGCAGGAAACAGCTGTATAATAGTTTTAAATAAAATAAATGACGTAAAGAATTCTGGCAAACTCGTGGTCACACGTTACTTTAATGAATTGATAGAAGCGAAATTTTGCAATTATTCTATTTTTAAAACGTAAACAAAAACCAGCTGAGAGGCAAAACAAAACAGTTTGGAAAAATTTCCAATTTTATGGCAGATTTTTTGTTGTTTTTCTTGTGGGGACAAAGAATCCTCTGAGTGTGTAGAACAAAGTTAGGCATGACTTGTGTTTGATTCACAAATTTTGGCAAAGTTCGCGAAAGTAGAGGGAAATTCCGTTGCCAAAGTGCGCATTTAGTCTAAAGGTGGAAGGCGTTTGTCCGACCCCAATGAAAGATTTTTCGCAGAATAGTTTGGCTTTGGTCCAAGCTTTGTCTAAAAATACCGATTTACGTCTGCAGATGGTCTTTCTGCCAAAGCGAGACGCAGATTTGCACCGGTTTGGTTTAACCGACTTGGAAGTAAGAAAGGTTAAAGTGAGATTTTGAAAGGAACAAAGAGTTTGGCGAATGATCGTTTAACCTTGCCGTGATTAAAAATAGATTAGGACATTAAAAGCAACTGCGTCTCTACTTAGAACTCCTTAAATCCAGGATTTTTCATATCCGAGGCTATTTTTAGAACGAGGGCTGGACGCCGACGCTGAAGGTTTCCACTTGGTGATCAACAAAGCGAGGAATAATGAAATGAAACGCAATTTTTGAGGAATTGGAAAAATAAACGCAAAAATTGACAGATTTTGTCCATTTGAATTCACTTGGTCCATCAAATTTGAAAATATTGGAGACAAAACAAAAAACAAAGTCTCAAAATGAATTTTGAACAAAATTAAGCAATTTTGAAGAGACCAAAAAATTGTGCCCCAAAAATGCAAAATTTTGTCAAATTGAAATTCCATGGTCTATCTAAAATTTGCAATAATTTTACTTTTTGTTCAATTCAGTTCTTTTAGTACAGTTAGAAACACGAAATTTTGGACAGGACTGTCAAACTACTAACATCATTTCTAAAATGGGCTTTACTTTATTAACCTCATTTTAATGGTCACAGAGGGATCGACATTTACGTGTCATTCTGACTTTTAAATAAGTCATGATGACAATAAAAATGATTTAGACAACAAATTTTTGTATTGACAGAAAAGTCATCTCCGAAATTTCGTGTCCCAAACTGTACAGGGTGTCCCAAGATTTAGGGCCGGCGCAAAAACAAATATTTCTAATAAATTAAAAAAAAAATGCAAGTGCAAACGATAGAGGATTAGATAAACTTCAAATTGATGCTTCAATATTTTCAAAATTATTAGCGTAATATCAGTAAAACCCTAAAAACCAAATTTGGAAAAAAATTATTTAAAAATTTTTAAATCAAAATGTTAACTATTTAAAACTATCATTTAGAAAATATTCCAGTTAATAGAAATTTTTTTCTCCAAATTTAATTTTTAAGGTCTCACTGCCATACGCTAAAAATTTTGTACAATATCAAAACATCAAATTATAGTGTATTTAATCCTCTATCGTTTACACTATAAAATTCTTTTTTAATTAATTAGAAATGCTTAGTTTTCCGCCGGCCCTAAAACTTAGGACACCCTGTACAGTCAGCAATTGCATTTTTTCTCAAAAAAAAATGACACAAAAATCCCATTTAGAATGGGATTAAAAATTCTAATACAGAAATTTTGAAAAATCTTAAGAAAAAGTCTAAATGAAGACAAATATGTTCTAAAAAATGTCAAATAAAAACAAGTATAAAAAGAACTAAAGTATAGTATAAAATACATAAATATAATGAATGAATAAAAATAATAATCATAATGAAAAATAGGTTCGAAAAATAATATAGGTATTCCGTCCAAGAGAAAAGTTTTCGTAAATTTTGAACATAGTCAAAATAAAAATTTCAAACTAAAGTGAATTTGTGATTCCAACTTTTTAAAATAAAAAAACAAAGTAAAATATAG